ACCTCCTTGATGAATCCAGCTGCCAAGAGTTTGTCGATCTCCTCGCCTATGGCCCTGTGCCTCTCATCGTCAAAGCGACGCGGGCGTTGCTTAGCGGGCTTTGAGCCTAGGACGAGGCGTAATGCGTGCTCGGTGACCTCCCACGGTATGCCTGACATGTCAAAAGGTTTCCATGCGAAGACATCGCGATTGGCGCATAGGAAGTCGGCGAGCTCTCATTCCTATTTGGCCAGGAGCTTGGCCCTGATCCGTACCATGTTGGTTGGGTCAGTGGGGTCGATCCCCACCGCCTTAGTTTCCTTGATTGGGTGGAAGGCAGTCGAGGAGGTTGGCTTGTTGCAGTCTAGGACTGCTGGAGTCGATGGATTTCCAAGCTGAGGGAGCTCGACTGAGTTGATGACGGCAGTGGCGAGCTCGAAATGCTCGTGGTCGCATGTGTAGGTGTGCGAAAAGGTGCTACCCATAGTGATGACGTCATTTGGTCCCGGCATCTTCAACTTGAGGTAGGTGTAGTTAGGGATCACCATGAACTTGGCATAGCATGGCCGCCCCATGATGGCGTGGTAGGACCCTAGGAAGTCCACCACCTCGAAGGTGAGGAGCTTCGAGCGAAAGTTGGCTCGGTTGCCAAACGTGATGGGTAGGTCGATCTGCCCAAGCAGGTATGCCTACGTCCCCTGGATTACGCCGTGGAAGGGAGAGCTCACTGAGCAGAGCTTCGACCGGGGGATGCGCATGGCATCGAGGGTGTCGACGTAGAGAATGTTGAGGCCACTGCCTCCGTCCATTAGCACCTTGGTGAGGCTCTTCTTACGGACAATGGGGTCAACGACGAGCGGGTAGCGACCTGGTCTAGCGACGTGGGAAGGATGGTCCCTCTGATCAAAAGTGGTCGGAGATTCTAACCAACTAAGAAAAGAGGGGACGGCTGTTTCGGCGATGCATGCCTCTCTATAGCGCACCTTGTGCTGGCGCTTGGAGTAGATGGCATTGGATCCCCCAAAGATCATGAGGCATTCCTCAGGATCAGGAAAGCCATCATCATCCTTGCCTACCACGCCTCCTTTCTTGGCTGCTGCCTCCTTGCCCTTTCCTTCCTTTGGCCCGCCGGCCTGTCATAGAAAGTGCTTGAGGAGTTCGCAGCCCTTGTAGAGGTGCTTGACGGGATAGGCATGGTTGGTGCATGGGCTCTCCATTAGCTTGTCGAAGTGGACGAGTGGACCCTGCTGGGGCTGCTTGCCCGCACGATCGGCCGCAGCGACCCAAGCGGAGTTGGCCGATCGGTGCCGATCCTTCTTGTTCTTTTTGCCCCTTTGCATGGAGGGGCCCTCGCCTTGGTCCTCGCGCTTGGCCTTGCCCTTGTCCCAGCCTCCGCTAAAGACCGCTCCGACCGCCTCCTCGCCAGAGGCGTCATTCGTGATGATGTCGAGCATGTCGTGGGTGGTGTGGGGATTCAGACAGCGGAGCTTGTGGATCAAGGACTCACAGGTTGTCCCGGAGAGGAACGCGCTGATGACGTCCACGTCAACGACATCAGGAAGGGAGTTGCACCGTTTTGAGAACCTCTAGATGTAATCCCGTAGGGACTCGTTGGGCTCCTGCTGGCAGCTCTTGAGGTCCCAGGAATTCCTAGGACGGACATATGTACCCTGGAAATTCCCGATGAAGATCCTCTTGAGATCCACCCAGTTGCGAATGCTGTCAGACAGGAGGAATTTGAGCCATGCTCGAACATGCTCCCCCACGCAGATGGGGAGGTATTGAATGATGAAGTAGTCATCATCCACTCATCCGGCTCGGTAGACGAGCCGGAAGTCTTCGAGCCATATACCGGGATTTGTTTCCTCGGTGTATTTGGCGATGTTGGTGGGTGGTCGGAAGCGCTGTGGGAACGGCGCTCTCTGGATGCGACGGTCAAAGGCCTATGATCCCAGACCATCCAGGTTGGGACTCCGGTCATCTAGTCAGCGATCATGCCTAAGGTGTGTGTCCTCGCTCCCCTCGACGGTCCGGTCAGGGCCCATGCCACCTGCTCTCGCTGCCGCTTGATGGACGTCATCATCACGTCGGGCTTGACACCGATTATTGATGATGATGCGAGCGTCATGGTTCGGTCCAAGGCGTTCGCGCAAGGTGGTTGGTGTGGAGCGGGCGCCGGGTCAGGCCATGGTGCAGCTGCGGCCTCCTGTTCCACGCCTGGCGGCCGTAGTGGTGAGCGGATGGAGTGATTCGACTGGTGCGCCCCCATTCCCCCCGTGGGGAAAGAGGCCGTGAGTCGGTGTCGCGACGCGGAGCTCTCCGCCTGTTGAACGGCGATGGTTTCCACCAGCGCCTAGAGGTTCCGGTGGATCACATGCTCCTGGGGGTCGATAGGCTCGGGAAGGCCACGTAGAAGCATCACCGTAGCAGCAATGTTCTGGCCAGCCCGAGCAAACTATGGGGGGCTCATTTCCTCCGTCCAGGATGTTGTGCTGGACCTGACGGGCGTGACCTCGGGCGCCGCTCACTAGGTTACGCGCGCGTGGCGCAGCGTGCTGCGCCGAGCGTGCCAGCGCAGGTGGCAGTTGGCTCTACCGCCTTTGTCGCAACTCCCCGCCGTGCTCCTGCGCATGAGCGAGGGCCTCCGCACGAGGGTCTGGAGGGGTGTAAGTCTGTAGAGATTCCGCAACCACCGGTGGCTGTCCCGGAGCGTCCGCCATAGCGCACTCCTAGGACAGATTGTGGCCAAGTACCATGTCGTCGATGCTGGAGCCGTCGCTTTCAACCTCATTATCCATGAGGTCGTGAAAAGAGGCTGGAGTGTAGCCTGCCATCCCCACGAATTAGGATGTGAGAGAGGGTGGCATCAGCGTCCTTCGGAGCCCCCACGCATACGCGTCCACGAGGGATGCAAGGCCGTAGGGAAGCCGGTCGCACGGCGGTTGCGGTGGGGACAACAGGGTCCCTCCGAAGAGTCGACAGAGAGTATTAAACAACGAGTAAAGAATAATATGTACGTTACTCACAGTGGGGTTTGAGCCCAACGTGGGCTCAAAGCGAAGCGCGGGTGTCTCGTCGTTGAGGTTGTCGGGTGGCCCAGAGCCGACGGAGGGCGCTCCTCCTTCAATGGGCGCTGGGACAGGTGTCTCCTCGCGAAGGCGAAGTACACCGAGCTGGTCAGCTTTGAAGTCCAGACTTTCGAAGAGGAAGGTCTGGAGCGGCTCGAAGATGGGACGAACCCATATCCCAACAGGTGGGAGCGTGGGAAACTCCAGCGAGCCGAAGCGAATCGTATCGCTTGAGCCCATCATGCCGAAGATGGTGGAAAGGTAGGCCATCCGATGACCAAAAGCGTGAACGCACGGCGTCCTCCCCACGGACGGCGCCAACTATCGGTGTAAAAAGTGATCAACAAGTAAATATTTATAGTTTTGCCGTGCGTTGTGATCGGATGTGGCCTAGCACTCAATGACACAGGATTTATACTGGTTCAGGCAACGCGCCCTACGTCCAGTTCCAGTCGGTCGGTGACTTTATTCCTGAGCCCAGGTGCTCGAAGTTTGTTGTGGGGTTACAAACGAGTGGGAATAAGAAGGGGTGTTAAAGGTCCGGTTGGACTCTGAACCGAAGGGTCGAAAGTGACGGAAGCTCCAACGTGTGCTAAGTATTGGAACGTATGCTCTGTGTAGCTTGAGAGTTCTAGAGCTGTGGAGTTGTTTGAATGCTCAGAATGTCTAAAGCTTAGCCGAGAGAGAGTCGGAATGACCGTCCTCCGTTGGGAGAGAGCGCATCCTCTTTTATAGGTGAAGGGGATGGCCTTACAAGTTTGAGAGAGAGAGAGCGTGCACGTGTGCTACTAAGTCTTGTTGCCCACGCTGCCGGGTACAAGATGGTCGTCGGCGCCCACAATACTGTTTATATCAGACGCGTGTGTCAGGCTTTACCGTGTTCGCCTGGCATGACAAAGGACGGCGCCCACAACACTGTAAGGCAAATATCGGCACCCATAACACTGTTTGGGTTCTGACACGCCTGAAAGGTTGCAAAGTATCCTTCTGTCATGGCCTGACAGTACTGTTCTACAGGTGTGCAGAGTACGGTCCTCGGTATTGAGGTTGACTTGAGCGCCTTACCTTATCTGCTCCGCCTGATTTTTGGGTCCTCACCGAGCGGGCGTCCCCAGCCGGTCGTTTCCCAGTCGGATCCGACCGCGTCGATCGGAGAAGAGCTGTAAGCAGCGGTTCGACGTATTCCTGGTCGGAAACACGGGTCGGAGTCGGAAGCGAACGTCGTCCCCTCCTTGGCCGGGCCTTCCGGTCAGAGACTGGATCGCTCTTTCGGCCTGTCGTTAGATATCTAGGCCGGCCCAGGAGGCGCGCATTGTCGCAACGTCGTCTGCTGGGCCGAGCTATTGCTAGGAAGCGGACCTATTGGGGACCCCGGGTTTATGAACCCGACATTATCTAAGTTAGAAATTTAAAAGTTATTCCAAACTAGAAGAGCAACAACAACTACTACAGACATGTTAAGTCATATTTCTTTGTTCTTGCTATCCTCAATATTTCCTTCTACATGGTAATAAGTGAGCAAGTCACAAGTGTGCAATAAATAAGATTTCCTTAATCATAATTCAGCTCACAGTTTAAAGGCATGTTTGGTTCTTTTGTCAGGAGAGGAGAGCTGAGGAAGCCTTGCCTCAAGTTGCTCATCAAATCAAAACAATAAGAAAATGGCCAGCCTTTTAAGTCCACAAGAACCCGGGTAAAGCACACAGCCGGAGAACCAAAGACTGCCCACTCGGGGAAACGAGTGGGCCCCAGGAGTCAGCGAGAAGACCATTTAGGCGTTCCATTCCCGTACCAAAGTGTGAGTACTTTATTTGTGCAGACCTGAAAAGGTGCCGAAAATTCCCCAGTGGAGTTTTTTTTTTTTTTTGATTGATATGTGCCGGCCCCAATTACCAGAGCAGCCAGCCAATCCCACCGTGGGTGAAGGAAGGGAGGAACCACGACGCCGAGGAGATGTCCTGCACGGCCCATGTGCAGAGGCGCCACGAGGAGAACGGCTGCCTGATGATCTGCGACGAGAAGTTCGCCAAGAAAGCGTGGATTGCGCTGGGGCAGCGCGTCGATCTCGCTCCCGTCGACTACACCTTCGACATCGAGGTGCAGGCCATGAGCGGCGAGAAGCTGCCCTTCATCGTGCGCGCCGTCGTCTTCACCGTCGCCCCCCGCACCGACGACGACGACGACAAGGGCCTCCGCTACGACGACAACCTCTCCCAGCACTTCAACGACGTCGTCAGGGGCGTCATCGAGCGCGAGACCCGCGCACTGGTGGCGTCCATGACCATGGAGGAGATCTTACGGGCCACCACCAGCTCGTCCATAAACCACCAGGCCGTCTTCAAGTTCGAGAACGTGCAGCTGGAGCTCAAGCACTTCGACCGCCTCATGCATCGTCTACGACGCCTGCGTCTACGTGAAGCCAGTCCGTGGACGTGTCGGGGAACGAGGACTTCTCCTACGTGGTGGCGGCGGAGGACGACGGCGAAGGGCACACGGGGAAGGTGCTGTTGACTGTTGTTCTTTTTATATGAGCATTTTTTTTCTTTTTTTGAGAGGTGTTATATGAGCATTTAGTTGACAGACAGACAACATGCATGGTTCAAGTTTTTTGTCGTCGTTTTTTTTTCTTTTGGGCCCAGATCGAAGAGGAGGTGAAGAGCAGCGCTGAGGGAGGGAGCAATCAGGAGGGGCGACCAAGCAAGATGGGTCAAATCATGGGGTGGGCCTGCCAATCGCTGAAGCCGCAAATCCTTCAGGTAATGGGAAGGAAAGTCCGTTTTGGCCCACTGGGCCCTTATGCATGTGCACACCCACGTCCATTGGGCTCTGGCTTCTGTCGAAAAGGCTTGGAGATCCAGCCTTGGCCCTTGGAACAGATAAAAAATCTCCTTTAAAAAAGAAACGGTCATGTATTTTGTATATTAACTAGTTCCATGCCCGTGCGTTTGCTACGGGTTTTAAAATCCACATTATTCTAGGTTTTTCCTACAATCCTATGTAACAAATATCTTGTCTACATCATGGTTTCAATTTGAGACATACATGGCTAGCGAGAAATTTGAAATAGAGAATCTCTATATTTAGATAACCAATTAAAAAAGTTATTGGAGAATATTTTTCTATCAAAAATTCTATTCCTAACCATTAGTGAGGATACAGAGAGTCTCTTAGAGTTGCTCTAACTATGGCAATGACTACTAATGTTTCTAAGCTGAAACTGAAACTATGGATTAAAAAGCATTGACGCGGTGCATATTGATTTGCATGTAATATCAAATCACACATATTACATGATTATTTTTTAAACAACATACTGCATTATTATTACTTTCGGCATATCTAAAACTAAAATTTATTATCTTTAAATTTAATGCAGGTCGTGTATGGCAATGATGATACCACATATGGCCAGCTCAAACAACAAATAAAATTGTTGTCCAGTTATTCTCTGAAGGCGCTCTGGTTCGCCATGCCCATGTTCTACACGTCCCTGACCCATCACTATTCTACATCAACAACATTCAGCGTCGAAGACACACTGTTCCTGGTTGCTATCATCGTGGATGCAACGCTCATCCTGTTGCTGTCAAAATGGGGCAACGCCTTGGTCTGCATATCATGGCTCCTCCTAGAGCTGGCGACCTGCCTTCTGATTCTCTCGTTCAACAAACACTACGCCTTCGTCATCCTCGCCGTGCTACTCCTGGCCGTCGTCGTCGCCCTCCTCCAGCCAAAGGTGCAGCACGTGTCCGATAGGCACGTGTTGCCATTCTTCACACAGGACATGATCGGAGACAATGAGGAGAGTCCACACCTGGGCCATCTGCTGGAGATGTCGCAGGGCATCGCCAGTTTTGGCGGCCTCTTCACGGCGATCGCCGGACGCTTCATGGTGGGGCCTGTCAACGCTGCTGGTTTCTTCTTCTTCTGTGCGATAGTTCTCGGGCTCTATCTATCCATGGTGGTGACGGTGGGAGCTGTGACTCGACCCCACGCCAAGTGTCTGGCCATTGTCGTCATGTTCCTCGTCGTGCTCACGTTTATCGCCACCTCCATCCCACTTGTTGGGCACTCGGGAAGCACGCCATAGGTTGTCACGTAGTAGATCCATGGATCTTTGCCTACTTAATTATCCTTGGCATTCTGTTTTTCTTTTAGTTTACTTGTATGTATCTGAGTATGCTGTCCGATGCATGCTCAAGTTTGTGCAATTTTTTTCTTTTAATTTATTGGTTCAAATAAACACAGCGGTGTATCGTGAGAATACGATTTTTTCTGAATTCTCCTTTCATTTCTGTCAGCCGAACTGTGAGTGCTGTAACCTAACCTTAAACAGTTATTGGACGTGATATACTATGGTTAAACACTTAAACCTCATGGCAATCAGAGATCAATGGCAGGGATGGAAACTTAAGGAGCAGAACATCACGAATGCAGCTGTAATCGTGATATATATTAACATTGAAAGTACACGTGTCATATATTGCTATATGCTGTATCGTGCAAATGTTTCAAAAGAAAGTAGATGCACTTATGGAAAAAGAAGGCGAAAATGAAACTTTAACGACAGAGCTGCAGACCTTATTTTAGGCATAAGCAGATAAGCTCTACTCCTATTGAGAAGGGAACTTTGCCAAACTTTAATAATTTAATTAATACCAAATCTAGGAGGTCAATGAAACTATTATATATGCAACATGCACACTGGATGAGCCAGGTTACAGCACAATTTTAGGTCTGATTTACATACGGCGAGTGTAATTGATTTCAGTATCATTATTATGCCCTTCTCCAATAATAAACTTAGGCCTGTACTTATGAGGTTTCAAACACAAAACACCCTGTTCGCTTGATCGTTTATGTGACTTATAAGCCGGCATATACTGTTTTGTTGTGAGAGAAAAATAGTGTATCATGACTGATACGATCGAGCGAACAAGGTGATCTAGCAAGCTGCCAAGCATGCATGAGGCAGAAGCAAAAGCAGAGCATGAGGCAGAGGCGCAGACCAAGAGCAAGGCAGTAAGCTATTGTGGGCCAAATTAGCAGCCCAATATCATATCCTAAACCCAACGTGCATCGCCTAGCCGTGTCCTCCCTCTTCTTTCCCTCTCTCAAAAAAAAAAAATCGTGTCCTGCTGCTTCCTTGGCCTAGCCGAGCTAATCCGACCGGTGGGGCCCATAAGCAGGTCGTCGACCTCCTCCCCCGTTTGACTGCAACACCCCTCCCCCTCCCAGCGCCACCTATAAATCCCGCCCAGAAATCCACCACACCGGATACCCAACCCCAGCTCGCTCCTCTCCGAGTCTCACCATCCAAGCTCCGCACCGCATAGGCCGGCGCGCATACACATCCACGCCGCCGCGCGCCACAAGCCTCTGCTCCGCTCGATCAGCTGGCTCCGTCGGTCACCGGGCCGGGCCACAATTCTAAGCTCCTGACTGATTAGTTCCCGGCAATGGCGTCCTCCATCTCTGCTCCAGCTCCACTGGCGGCTCCGGACACCGTGTCGGCGCAGGCCAGGCGCTGCCACCCGGCTGTCCAGATCGCCGGCAACTACGCGCCCGCCCACCGGTGAGCTCCCGGTCTCCGGCCGCGTCCCGGCGTGCCTCGACGGCGTGTACGTTCGCAACGGCGCCAACCCGCTCCACGCGCCGCGCGCGGGCACCACCTCTTCGACGGCGACGGCATGCTGCACGCCGTGCGCCTCCGCGGGGGCCGCGCCGAGTCGTGCGCGATTCGCTTCACGGAGACGGCGCCGCTCAGACAGGAGCGCGCCATCGGAAAGGCCGTCTTCCCCAAGGCCATCGGCGAGCTCCACGTCCACTCGGGCGTGGCGCGGGCACCACCTCTTCGACGGCGACGGCATGCTGCACGCCGTGCGCCTCCGCGGGGGCCGCGCCGAGTCGTGCGCGATTCGCTTCACGGAGACGACCCCGCTCAGACAGGAGCGCGCCATCGGAAAGGCCGTCTTCCCCAAGGCCATCGGCGAGCTCCACGTCCACTCGGGCGTGGCGAGCCTCCTCCTCTTCGACGCGCCCCAGGGCATCGGGGTCGCCAACGCCGGGCTGGTGTACCATAACAACCGCCTCCTCGCCATGTCCGAGGACGACCTCCCCTACCACGTGCGCGTCACCGCCCACGGCGACCTCGAGACCGTCGGGCGCTACGACTTCGGCGGGCAGCTCGACACCGCCATGATCGCGCACCCCAAGCTGGACCCGGCCACCGGAGAGCTCTTCGCGCGCAGCTACAATGTCGTGTCCAAGACGTTCCTCAAGCACTTCTACATCACCGCCGACGGCTGCAAGTCCCCCGACATCGAGATCCCCGTCACCGAGAACCACGCCATCATCCCGGACCAGCAGATCGTGTTCAAGCTCCAGGAGATGGTGCTGGGCGGCTGGCTCCCCCGGGGTGTACGACAGGAACAAGACCGCGCGGTTCGGGGTGCTGCCGAAGCGCGCCACCGACGTCCTGCAGCTGCAGTGTGTTGTCAGAGCGCGCTTCCAGTTGTGAGCGTCCCGGCAGTGCAGCTCAATTGGAGAATGAAGGCACGTACAGGTAGGTATTAGACTACTAGCCCAGCCAGCCCCATGTTCTTCCTAATTTTCCCTTTCTCGCTCCTGCTGTCCTGCAGCGCATATCTGGCTTGGCATTCCGTAGACGCCATTGGGATGATTTGGGATGCATCACACAACGGATCCAACTTCTGTAAAGTAATCCACAGATTGTAAAGTACTCCAATCAGGCAATCACAGAAAGACACTCGACATGCTCTGAGAAGAAAGCCACTCCAATACTAGAACGGACGCCTCTCTCGCCCGTTGGATGAACCAGTCTTGGGATCTTTATTTGCTTATTATCCCTGGTAATCTAAATAAAAGTTCTTTATTTTTGCTTTGATGTAGCTGAGTATACTGCGCGGTGCTCCTATTTTTTCATTTGTTTTTATGTAATGTGAGTTTATTGGTTCACGTACAGCAGTATAATTGAGAATACAAACCACAGGAATTTTGCCTGAATTCTCCATTCATTTCTGTCAGCTGAACTGTTTTCTGGAATGTGAGTGCCTGGAGCGATGCATTGTCAGGGTGTTGGCTTTACAGGTTAAAAAGTCATGGTTATAACTTATAATCACGACTTGAAATGTGTTCTGGAATAGCTCCAATCCCTATCTAGCAGGTTGTGAGGATATTTTTTGCCTAATCAAACTGGGTAACAGACTTAATACATATAGCAAGTTCCAAGTAGTACATAAACAGGAAGGCTAGGCCAATTACCACACGTCGACACTATAGCTGGTCGCTTCATGCTTGCTTCAGTCGGTGGTCGCCGGTTGCTCAGGAACCTCTGCAACAAATATAAGTCCCCCTTCCCTTCGAGAAAAAAAAAGACAATTCTCATATTTTACTTTAGAATCATAAAAATCCAGTGAGCAATATCTCTAGCAGCAAAGCATATCTAAGTTAGAAATCTAAAGTTTTTCCTGACTAGAAGAGCAACAACTACTACTACAGACATGTTAAGTCATATTCCTTTGTTCTTGCTCTCAATATTTCCTTCTACATGGTATTAAGTGAGCAAGTCACAAGTGTGCAACAAATAAGATTTCCTTAATCACAATTTAGCTCACAGTTTGAAGGCATGTTTGGTTCTTTTGTCAGGAGAGGAGAGCTGAGGAAGCCTTGCCTCAAGTTGCTCATCAAATCAAAACAATAAGAAAATGGCCAGCCTTTTAATAAGTACACAAGAACCCGGGTAAAGCACACAGCTGGAGAACCAAGACTGACCTGTGGCTACGGCCCCCACTCGGGGAAACGAGTGGGCCCCGACAGTCAGCCATTTAGAGGGTCGCGCGCTTCCGTTCCATTCCGTTCCCATCTCGCCCGTCTCCCGTCGCGGCACCGTCTCGAGTCCAAATTTCTGAAGCACTACCAGTACTGGTCTCTCTCTCCTCTCCTCGCCTCGCCTATATCCTGTCTTCCACCTCTGCTCCTCCGCGGCGCTGCTGCTTCCTCGCCACGCCAGAGCTGAGCGACCCCCACCCAATCCAATCCCCCTCGTCTTGGTTTCCTTCTCCTCGCCGGACTCTGTCTCTCGCCAAAGAGGAGCCGAGGCTGCTCGTTGCTCGCTGCCCGCAGCGCCGGGAGTTAAGGGCCGGTGGCGCAGCCGATCGGCAGGGGGCGGAGGGAGGGTAATGAAGGGCACGCTGGAGCTCTACGATCGCACGCGCCACAAAGATCTTCCGGCTGCAGAGGTGCGTCGTTGTGCCGCATCCTCGTACTGTTTGGTTCGTTTGTCAGGAGAGGAGAGCTGAGCAAGCCTTGCTCAAGTTGTTCATCAAATCAAAACAATAGGAAATGGCTTACAGCATAGATTATTGTTAATTGTTTTGTTTGTTTTTATATGCGAGTGATTTGTTTTGTATTAAACTTTGATTGAGTGCATAACTTATAAAGAAATAGGAATAAAACTTCCTTTCACTAAAAGAAAAAGGTTTCGAAATCTTACATGGTTACATGGGTTTAATTCAAACAGGAAGTGAAAAGCACCGAGCGACCGAGCAAGATCAACGAAATCATGGAGTCAATTAGGAGGGCCTTCCAATCGCTGAAGCAGCAAATTGTTCAGGTAAGTTGGAAAATCTCTGTTTTGGGCCACTGGGCCCAGATGCATGTTTTGTAGTCCTTTCCATTGGCATTGGGCTTCTTTCAGATCCATTCTTGGAATACAGTCCTTTTTCAGCAAAATGAGTTCTGTCATGAGATGCCCTTTTTCAGCAAAATGAGTTCTGCTTGTTTGTGTTCTCCCAAGCGGAGAATTCTGCAGGGCTTGTTCAATAGCACACCGAATTTGAGTGAAATATGTCTTGGCTCGTTGACAGAAGCAATTCCTGATAGTGCCACCTCATTACTAAAGATGGGGGTGCTTGTCCTAGAAAAAAAAAACTCGGGCTCCATGCCACATTCTTTGTTTAATATTTCCCAGCTTCAAGCACTATCTGTCGGACGGAACAACCTCTCAGGTCCCATTCCTGGAAATGAGAGCTTTCACGTCCCTATGCTGCAAATGCTGATCTCTCCAAAAACCATTTCAACAAGCCCATCCCTTTAGTACTTTCTACGTGTCAGAACCTTGACACACTCTCTAAGTTGCTGTGAATAATTTCACTTGTTCTGTGCCGTTATGGCTAGCAACACTTCCGAGCCTTATTGCAATATCCTTGTCAATGAATAACCTGACTGGAATGATCCCAGTTGACTGAGCAACCACATCCTGCTTGTGTTCAACCTAAGTGAGAACAATCTACAAGGGGAGATTCCACCAGAATTAGGACAGTTGAGAAACCTCCAGTTTCTAGACCTTGCAAATAACCAAATAACTGGTGTCATTCAAGAATCCATAGGCAGTCTATCAAACCTTTCCCAAATAGACTTACTTGGAAACAGATTGACAAGATCAGTGTTGATGTCATTTAGCACCTTGCTGAATCTCCGTTGCATCTTTGTTGATGGGAACCATCTCTCTGGGAATCTAGATTTCCTATCTGCTTCAATGTCCAAATGCAGAAGCCTTACAACCATTGACATATCAAACAATGCATTCACAGGGAGGCTACCAACTTCAATTGCAAACCAATTTCCTACGGTGAACTCTGCATGATGATATATCTCAATCTATCCAGAGATTTATTCCAAGGATGAATACCAGGTTCATTTGGCAATGTAATTAATATTGAGGAGTTGGATCTATCCTCCAATGCACTTTCCGTTGCCATCCCAATATCCTTAACCAATCTCACTTACCTTGCCAATCTGAACCTTTCCTTTAACAGACTGGATGGACAGATACACGAAGGAGGACTGTTCTGAAATATCATACTCAAATCGCTGATGGGGAACAATGCACTGTATGGCCTTCCCCGCCTAGGTATAGCACAATGCCAGAACACCAGTAATCATTCAGACCAAAAAGTCCTGGCTAGCAACCTAAGGCACTATTGTTCTCTCCAGTTGCAAAGCAACACTTTTAGAACTGCACTTTGGATCTCATTGTTACAGGATATTTTCCAAGGGTAACATATTCGGTTTCCATTCATCAAAGAAAAGCACACGCAAGGACAACACAAAATAAAATATCTTTGTTGTAGTTAATAGATGGACAAAACCATACAAACTGATGGGAAGTGGCCAAGGTTTCAAGAATGTATAAGCATGCATGAACCATCATAGATGCCAGCTAAACTTTTCAAAAAATAGCACTGTAAATGAAGCCAGTATACCAGCAGAAGGGATCATGGGTATTTATCATATGTATAGAACCATTCCATTAAAAAAGGCATTGGATGTTTTCACACATGTTTAACTCAAGCCAGTATACGGCCATGTTTTCACACATGTTTCAGTATTAAGCATCCAAAAATGACCCCTATGGAATTGAGCAGGCTAAAATAAGAGTGATAATGATAATGTGACATGATGAAGCAAACTTCTCTCTCCATTCATCATGTAAACACCAATATGAGAATTGTGTAGTTAATACAGTGCACTCCCTATCTAAGATAGCAATTCATTGGATGGAGCCCTTCATAAATGGCATCATATTTCATACAGTGCACTAAATAAAAGAAAAATACATTTTAATTGGTCAATGCTGATATGTGCACTAAGATTTTAAATTTATCGTCCTGGGTATAAAGCTCCATCAATTATTCATAATATTTTGTTTTAGCTTTCATTATACATGGGAGCAATGTTGTCTGATACACTGCTAAATTAAAAGGTATAGTAGACTGCATAAAAGTGAGAAGATGTAGCAAATAACTTTATTTGAATAGAAACAAAGATACGAAGGATCACTCATTCTCATTTGCAACAGCTCTGCACCTTTATCTGTACTTATATATCTACAGTTCCATAACAGAGCAAGATAAAACCATTACTCTTTATATTATCCAGTACCTCAGATAATAGAAGGAGCATCAGTAAATATATCTAAACTGAACTACATATTTTGGCTCCTAAGCAATATCCATCCCAGTGTGATATGTGTCCCTGTGCGATATCCTGAAAAGAGCATTGCACATGAGTTGAGATTAAACTGTAAAACCCTATTTTCTGTCAATGAAGATGAGATTGCACCAACTAAGAATGCAAACGTAGGCAGATGAGCTCACACAAATAAAAAAAAATCATTAGCATCTATCTCCAAGCACTTCCGGCTGAAAGAACCTCTTTAATGCAGATGCTAATTCTCTTTCAAATGACCGAGTGATGCTAGTCTTTGAAATGCCTGAGTGAAGGTGTGCATCCACTGAAAGGTAGTAACCATGGAAAGCAAGAACATATATTGAAAGAAACTGCAATGAATTTATCAAGTAGAACTGGCATTTTATCGAATACCTAAAGTGCAAGCAGTAGCAGCACATAGCAACAAGCACAGGAAAATCACATCCAGCGTGGCAATCACCCGAGTGTCTAGGCCGACCGATGGAGGCGCCACGATTGTCTTCAGAGTGTGGCAAGCGTGGCCGGGTCAGCGGAGCAGGTGCCCGGTGGTGGCTGAGAAGGCCTACTGCACAGCAACGCGCAACGGGGCAAGTGGGGTCCACACCACCAGCAGAAGGCTAGGTGACCCAAATCGAAACGCTGTCGTTGATGGAGGCCGGCGTGGGGATTCAGCGAGAAGAGGGTTCGGACCATTCCGTTCCATTCCATTCCCATCCCACCTACCAAAGTGTGAGTACTTTATTTGTGCAGACCAGGTATTATTTGTGCAGACCAGGTTAGGGGCACACTCCTGTGATCACTATATTAGTCGTACCAGAGCAGCCAGCCAATCCCACCGTGAAGGAAGGGAGGAACCACGACGCCGAGGAGATGTTCTGCACGGCGGCCCATGTGCAGAGGCGCCACGAGGGAGAACGGCTGCCTGATGATCTGCGACGAGAAGCTAGCCAAGAAAGCGTGGATTGCGCTGGGGCAGCGCGTCGATCTCGCTCCCGTCGACTACACCTTCGACATCGAGGTGCAGGCCATGAGCGGCGAGAAGCTGCCCTTCATCGTGCGCGCCGTCGTCTTCACCGTCGCCCCCCGCACCGACGACGACGACGACAAGGGCCTCCGCTACGACGACAACCTCTCCCAGCACTTCAACGACGTCGTCAGGGGCGTCATCGAGCGCGAGACCCGCGCACTGGTGGCGTCCATGACCATAGAGGAGATCTTCCGGGCCACCACCAGCTCGTCCATCAACCACCAGGCCGTCTTCGAGTTCCAGAACGTGCAGCTGGAGCTCAAGCACTTCGACCGCCTCATCGTCTACGACGCCTGCGTCTACGTGAAGCCGCAGTCCGTGGACGTGTCGGGGAACGAGGACTTCTCCTACGTGGTGGCGGCGGAGGACGACGGCGAAGGGCACACGGAGAAGGTGCTGTTGACTGTTGTTCTGTTATATGAGCATTTTTTTTTCTTTTTTTGAGAGGTGTTATATGAGCATTTAGATGACAGACAGACAACATGCATGGTTCAAGTTTTTTGTCGTCGTTTTTTTCTTCTTCTTTTGGGCCCAGGTCGAAGAGGAGGTGCAGAGCAGCGCTGAGGGCGGCAGCAATCAGGAGGGCCGACCAAGCAAGATGGGTCAAATCATGGGGTGGGCCTGCCAATCGCTGAAGCCGCAAATCCTTCAGGTAAGATGGGAAGGAAAATCCGTTTTGGCCCACTGGGCCCTTACGCATGTGCACGCCCACATCCATTGGGCTCTGGCTTCTGTCGAAACGGCTTGGAGATCCAGCCTTGGCCCTTGGAACAGATAAAAAATCTCCTTAAAAAAAAGAAACGGTCATGTATTTTGTATATTTACTAGTCCGTGTCCGTGCGTTGCTACGGGTTTCAAAATCCACACTATTCTAGGTATTTCCTACAATCCTATGTATTTTTTAGCTAACACAAGTAAGAAATATCTTGGAGTTGTGGTTATTTTTTAGCCAACTTAGGGGCAGACCGAAGCGATGTTGTGGACGATTGCAGTTTCATCTTAATAGGAGTGGAGAAAAGTACCACGGACGGTCCATAGTGATTCTTTATGCATTGTATAAGAAATAAGAAATAAAATCGTACGTAGTTGATTACTACAATCCTATTCTAGGTATTTCCTACAATCCCTATGTATTTTTTAGCTAACACATGTAAGAAATATCTCGTGTGCATCATGGTTTCAATTTGAGACATACATGGCTAGCGAGAAATTTAGAATAGAGAATCTCTATATTTAGATAACCAATTAAAAAAGTTATTGGAGAATATTTTTCTATCAAAAATTCTATTCCTAACCATTAGTGAGGATACAGAGAGTCTCTTGGAGTTACTCTAACTATGGCAATGACTACTAATGTTTCCAAGCTGAAAGTGCAACTATGGATTAAAAAGCATTGCCGCGGTGCATATTGATTTTCATGTAATATCAAATCACACATATTACATGATTATTTTTTAAACAACATACTGCATTATTAAGATTACTGCATTATTATTACTTTCGGCATATCTAAAACTAAAATTTATTATCTTTAAATTTAATGCAGGTCGTGTATGGCAATGATGATACCACAGATGGCCAGCTCAAACAGCAAATAAAATTTTTGTCCAATTATTCTCTGAAGGCGCTCTGGTTCGCCATGTCCATGTTCTACGCGTCCCTGGCCCATCACTATTCTACATCAACAACATTCAGCGTCGAAGACACACTGTTCCTGGTTGCTATCATCGTGGATGCAGCGCTCATCCTGCTGCTGTCAAAATGGGGCAACCCCTTGGTCTGCATCTCATGGCTCCTCCTAGAGCTGGCGACCTGCCTTCTGATTCTCTCGTTCAACAAACACTACGCCTTCGCCATCCTCGCCGCGCTACTCCTGGCCATCGTCGTCGCCCTCCTCCAGCCAAAGCTGCAGCACGTGGCCGATAGGCACGTGTTGCCATTCTTCACACAGGACATGATCGGAGACGATGAGGAGAGTCCACACCTGGGCCATCTGCTGGACCTGTCGCAGGGCATCGCCAGTTTTGGCGGCCTCTTCACGGCGATCGCCGGACGCTTCATGGTAGGGCCTATCAACGCGGTTGGTTTCTTCTTCTTCTGTGCGATAGCTCTCGGGCTCTATCTGTCCATGGTGGTGACGGTGGGAGCTGTGACTCAACCCCACGCCAAGTGTCTGGCCATTGTCGTCATGGTCCTCGTCGTGCTCACGTTTATCGCCGCCTGCATCCCACTTGTTGGGCACTCGGGAAGCAAGCCACGGGTTGTCACGTAGTAGATCCTCCTTGGCATTCTGTTTTTCTTTTAGTTTACTTGTATGTACCTGAGTACGCTGTCCGATGCATGCTCAAGTTTGTGCAATTTTTTTCTTTTAATTTATTGGTTCAAATAAACACAGCGGTGTGTTGATCGTGAGAATACAAATAACAAGGATTTTTTCTGAATTCTCCTTTCATTTCTGTCAGCCGAACTGTGAGCGCTGTAACCTAACCTTGAATAGTTATTGGACGTGATATACTATGGTTAAACCTCATGGCAATCAGAGATCAATGGCAGGGATGGAAACTTAAGGAGGAGAACATCACGAATGCAGCTGTAATCGTACTATATATTAACATTGAAAGTACCCGTGTCATATATTGCTATATGCTGTATGGTGCAAATGTTTCAAAAGAAAGTAGATGCACTTATGGAAAAGAAGGCGAAAATGAAACTTTAACAACAGAGCTGCAGACCTTATTTTAGGCATAAGCAGATAAGCTCTACTCCTATTGAGAACGGAACTTTGCCAAACTTTAATAATTTAATTAATACCAAATCTAGGAGGTCATATATGCAACATGCACACTGGATGAGCCAGGTTACTGCACAATTTTAGGCCTGATTTACATACGGCGAGTGTAATTGATTTCAGTATCAATATTATGCCCTTCTCCAATAATAAACTTAGGGCTGTACTTATGAGGTTTCAAACACAAAATAAAACACAACGGTACACCATGTTCGCTTGATCGTTTCTGTGGCTTATAAGCCGGCTGATACTATTTTGTTGTGAGAGAAAAACACTGTATCATGGCTGATAAGCATGGCTGATACGATCAAGCGAATGCCGCGTTGCAAGCACCAAAAATGATCAACTAACATGGACAACGAGAGCATGTTATTTGTTTACTGCATGTTGCAACTTTAATTGAAGGACGGCCACAACAACGATCAGGAAAAGCACGGTGAGGATACATAGCATCCGTTGGAGGGGAGAATGAGAAGGCACGCCGCCAGTGCTAGGAGTAACCATGAGATGCAGACCAAGGCATTGCCCCAATTTGGCAGTTTAATGAAGAGTACTGCATCGATGATGATGAAGACCACCATAATTTGGCCCACAATAGCTTACTGCCTTGCTCTTGGTCTGCGCCTCTGCCTCATGCTCTGCTTTTGCTTCTGCCTCATGCATGCTTGGCAGCTTGTAGGGGCGGCTCATTTTCCAGACGTCCCAACAAATCCTCAGCCGTCCCTATAAATCGATTTCTAGGGATGGCTTGACAATCGCCCGTACAAAACATTGATTTGTAGAGGCACTTGTATACGGGCGGCTGGGCAAACCACCTCTATAAATCATCAGGAACCATCCCCTATAAAAATTTCTGTCGTAGTGAATTAACGCAAGATATATAGTGGCAAGTATAGGATTAACAGAGGGGTTGCAAGCTAGGCATTTTTTTTTCAATCGTCATGCATTTCTTCTCGATTTTTCTAAATGGCCCACGCCACACAAGCAAAGAGGTACGTACAAACCTATTTTCTTAGGGGCACCCAAATCACATGCATTGGCTATAGATGTACATGCAGCCCGCAGTCCTTTGACATAGCACGAAGCCCGCTATTTCAGCTTGGCATGAGCACAACATGACCCGATGTTTCACGGGCCCGGGCCAGCATAGCCCGATGCATAGGGCCGTGCCTGGGCCGCTACTTAGGCACGATGGGCGGCACAGCCCGGCCCGCAATTTAGCAATCGGCCCGGCGGCCCGGTGCAAGCCATGGCCTGCTAAAGGCCCATCGCCCCTAACCCTAACTTCCCCCTCCCCACGCACAGGCGCAGACCCCTCTCCGTACCCGCGCCACACTCACAGAGTGGCGCACTTGCTTCCCACGCGCTCGTGGTCGCCCTGCTCGCCTCCTTCCTTCCGACTTCCGACCTCTACACGGACGCTCCCTGGAAGCTCCTCTCGCTCTCACCGCGGGGTGCGCCGCTGCCGCTAGGAGCTCGTCACCTCTGCACGGCCGCTCCCTTGAAGCGCCACTGCCCGCCAGGGGCTCAACTCCCCGCGGTCGCGCCTGGAAGCGCCGCCACCTGCTGTGGAATCGGCCTCGACCGCCGTGGCTTCCTAGGGAGCAAGCGCGCTGGCCTCGGGGGCGTCGATCAACCCTGAGCTCCACCCTGCTCCCTTCTCTGCTCACCCCGACGGATCCGGCGTCAAGCACCCTGGGCTGCCTCCCCTTCCCCCCTCTCTCCGGCTTCTCCTGGCATCCAGTGGGCCTTAGGCCGGTCCGGCCCGCTGGCCATGGCATGCTTTTCGGGCCAGCCCGGCATAAAAACGGCCCGCCAGGCCATGCCTGGGCTGTCGCTTAGGCCCATGGCCCTAAGAGGCAGGCCCGTGCCGTGCGGGGCCAGCCCGTTGGGCATCTATACACAGCGCAGCAACACGTGTTGTGCTTGAGCGCAGAAGGGGTCTACCTAGTAGAAAACTCGGTCGAGCCAACCGTCTGATCTTGGCATTGCCGCTCGTACTCTTCGTAATTACAACAAAAGAGGCTTCTTCAGTTCACTAAATATATATATTCTGAACCGGCAGACAAAACAAAGCTAACCATCACACATATGCTTATACTACTTTATTTTATAAAAAGCTGACAAAACAAAGCTAACCATCACGATACTAGCTACAGTGCTTTTATAAAAAAGCTGGTACCTTGCTCAGTCAATAAATAAATGTACAATGTATTCTGAACTGGCAGGCGAAGCAAAGCTACCTAGCACTTGTCCCTCACACGGCCTCTATATAAGGCAGGCATGCATATATACAATGATGCATCATCGCCACAGCAAGCAAGCCGCAGTGCACAAGAACACATAGTGCAAGCAATACTAGCGGTGATAGATAGATGGCGATGTCGTTGAGCTCCTGCACCACCCTCCTGATGACCCGGGCGGCCGCACCGGCGCCAAGGCCCACGCCAACGCCAACGCCGGGGAAATCCTCTCCCGGCGCCGGATCACTGCAGCTCCGCAGCAGACAACCGGCGGCGGCTTCGTCATGCAAGGAGTCCCGGTCCCGGCGGGCTGCTCTCTTCTCGTGCCATGCGCTAAATAAGTACTCGTACCACATCGAACCCGCTGGTAAGTGGTAAGCTGGATGTAGTGCCACGCTAAATAACTTTATACTAAATAAAGCCGAACTTCATTTATTGATTGATCGACAATTGTACATACTGCTAGTAATTAAAGTAATAAATTGATTTTGGAATTTATTTGGAATGAATTGGAAGCCCTGGTGTACCGGCCTACAACTACATCAGCGGGCACCAACTGGAGAATCTGGGAAGACAAGGACAAGGACCTCATCATCCTGGAGCTGGAGGTAGGAGAATTGGCCCAGGATAAACTGGAGGTTTCAACAACGGACCACGTGCTCCTGGTCGTCAAGTACAAGGGCGACATCAACGACGAGTGGCGGGCGAGCTCGCTGGACGTCCGCCTGCTCATGCCTCCTGGCTACGACGAGAAGAATGTGGGCGCGACGATGCTGTCCAAAGGCTGGCTTCAGATTACCATCCCCAAGCCCAAGCACGAGCCCAATAAGATACAAATCTCGTAGGCGCCCCCGACCCCGACGACCCAGACCTAGTAGTAGTCATCACTACTCTACTCCTCCTAATAATATATACTCCCTCTCTGACGTACGATAACTTTAGAAATCTATTTATTCAGAAGGACAGAGAGAGTATATATGTACGGATACCTGTGCTATCTAGCTTATTTATCAGATTCTGCTCTGCATGCATGTGCTAATAATGTACTTACAATACAAGCAGTATATATATATACGTACGTAGTACGCGTAGCTGCTTTTACTGGATCTTGGTATAGACAACCAGTGAATAAAGTAACTACTGTAATAATCTTGTACTCTGTCGTTTAATAATCATAACACATCTTCTAGTGCCAGCCTCATTGCGTGCTTCAACTGGATCTTGGAATATATATTAGGCAATTACATGAATATAAGAATATAAATCACGACATGACACATGCCTGTTCTCGGTACTACTAATGATATAATAAAGCATGTTATGGTCTTACTATTACTAACTGTTTAACGCAAAATATGGACAAAACAAAATTGACTCCAGAATCACTATGCCACAACCAATCTATTACGACGAACGATGGTTGCTAAAATATAATATTAACGATCAACAATCGGACGCTATAAATTCCTAACAGATCGTCCGTGCTATTTTTACTTATATAGCTACAGTAAATCGGTCGCTACGTATATTTAGTTGTTTCCACGAACTATCGGTTGTTAAAAACGCATATTAGAGTCAGACCATCGGTCGGAATAGCACGTTGCACGCCCCGCCCAGCCCAATCACGTGTGCACAGTGAATTTTACGCCCAACCCAGCCCACTCACGCCTTGCGACCGATTTAGAGTCGCTATAGATTGACTGTGGTATAGTGAATTTTCAGCAGATTTAGCATATACCTTGCAGAAATATATAGCCACCAATTAACACAAAACACTCCTGCAGATATGACTTTCACTGTCGGCTGCATCACTGCCAGATTTTAAGAAACCGATAGTGATAGCACATCATTGTCGGTTTTTGGCTAAAACCGGCAGTGATAGGACCAATCGACACTGATATTCGGATCTTCACTGTCGGTTCATATCACTGTCGGTTTTAGCCAAGAACCGGCAGTGATATTGGGTCATCACTGTCGGTTTTACCCAATAACCGACACTGATACTATCACTATCGGTTCGTGGCTTAAACCAACAGTGATATGCTACAAGAAAAGTTCATAACTTTCTCATATGATGTCCGATGAAGACGAACTTTATATCAAAGTTGTAGTACTCGATGAGATTTACAACTTTATAGTTTAAACTTTTTTGATTTGAGACTGTTTGAATGTCCAAATATGCACCATAAGATTTTATAGAGTTAATACCAAAGGAGTACCATATGCTCCATAGTCATAATT